CTCTCTCTCTATCTATCTATCTATCTATCTATCTATCTATCTCTATCTCTCTCTCTTTCTCTCTCTCCCTCCATTTTATCTCTTCCCTTTCTTTCATTTGCTCTCAACCGGAAGTCGTACCAAGGGCAGTTTATTCACCCTCTGATAATCTCGTATGTGTGTATTCCATAGTTTTAATAATATTAATTCAATATCTCTAGAAATGTGTTTGAAAATATTTTGTTCACAAGTATCCCAGATTATAAACTTTTGAATGACAGCGGAAGTATCTAGAAGATTAATGTTTAAGATTCTTCAACTTACTGCTTTCACATCGTAGCTCCACAACAGCTTATTCTTGTCTGCGGACAGGGTCCAAGTTCCTAAGTTCGTGTTGCGATTCCCCTGTTGGCAGAGCAAACACTAGTATTAGAAACTCCCGCCAGGGTGCGCAGTTTAGGTTGTTAGCGCTAAGGATGTGTAGAGACGGTGAGTGGGGTCTCCAGGTACCCCGAGTGCAAGAACCTGGATGGCCCTTAGTCGGGCTCCGAATTCGGCAGGCAGTGCCCATCGCCATGGGTTTATGGAAAGGGCCACACTCCGTCGCATGTGAGTGGCCTTTTATGACCTCAGTATTAACCTGGTCAGGTTTGGGGAAAAGTATATGTTCTATATCTCGTACCTGGATTTCAGTCCAAAAGTAGATTTGTATGCATGCAGTGGTTGAGAATGAGGCTCAAACACATAGGAGCCTATTCAAGGGACCTGCCCCCCCCCCCTGTCTTCCAAAGTGGTTCATTGCAAGGAGGCTACTATTGCCCACTTCTTTCACCAGGACTGATGTTAACCATGAGGGAAAGTGCCTTTTTATTGTGTGAACTTAATAGGATATATGCTTACCATTCACGCTTTAGTGTAGATATATGAATCTCGAAGAGCTACAACACCATATATCTTCCGTTATTTATAACAGCCACGTAATTTTATATGAAATACCGAGGTTTTTAAATGCAGTCAGATTTCAAAACTAAATGCTCGTTACAAGTCCTCGAAACAGTTACATGAAGCATTTAAAAAATATTTTAGATATTTTATTTCAACAACAGTTTTATCGTGTTGCTGTTGGTTGGCCACCGTTGAAAATATTTACTTTATGGCACTTTCAAAATGTTTCTAAACACTTCTCTCTTGCCCTAAGCAAAGCGGTCAGCATCTGGCCCTGGCTTTTCAAACGAAGTGCCCGTGTTGTGATCACGTGGTTTGTCATGTATCTGGGGCGGCGCAGAACGAGAAAAGGTCGTTGTCCCGGACCTCCTAAAACTTTTCTTTTCATCATGGTCTACATTTCGATTTATTTGTGGTGGCACTTGACATAAGTCTCTAAAGGGACACTGTTCTCGGCTAGGGGGCAGGTGCTGGGGAATGGTGCTGGCGTGAGAAGTGAAACGCGCATGTCTCTACCTCTAGCACACGCTATAAAGCTCCTTGTCGGGTCATGGATATCATGGGAAGGGGGATTCACATACCTCTGTGGGTCCTTGCCCCTCCGACCAGATCCAGCCACTGAACTCGGAGTGATCTTGGCTTCAAATTTGTAGGTACAATTTCTGCACTCAGACTCTTTGGTTGTTACGGCGAGTGAATGTGTTGGCACTGCGGTGCGTTGCGCTTACCAGAGCAGAGCTTTGGAGAAGTGTGGTGGTGGCCTTGGTGTCGACGTTGTAAACCTCGATGGCGCCGGCCGAGGTGCGTCGCGCGATCTCCTTCCCTGCGCACAACAAAAGAGAGACGCAATGAGACATCCGCACGAGGAGGAGCCGTCGCTAGACAGTGACTTCCTTCATCAAAACACAACGCGGTTCAGAAAACCCAAGTTTTTTTTCTTGGGCCTCCATTGAATGAGGTCTTTTAAATGGAAATAGAGTATGCCTCTATTTCTTCAACGTCTTCTTATGTAATACTGTTTGTTGTCGTGAATTAATATTCTATGCGTTATTCCAGCAAAAAAACTACTTTTTGTTTACGTGTATGGCATTGTAGAGTATGGCTTTCCTTACGAAATTATTCTCTCATTTAAGCTTAGCTCTCCGAGATAGGAATGGAATTGTAGAATTGATGGAAATCAACTACCTAATTATTTAGAGTATATTAATTATATCCGATTTCGTAAAAAGAATAGATATCAGACAGAGATCATCAAGATATTTTTGCCGATTATTTCTGTTACTCAGATCCCGTGTGCCCAGAACTTAAGACTGTAAAGAAGATAGGGGCAAGTAGAAAGATGATACAGATATCCGAAGGCTGTAGGTCGGAAGCGCAATAGTTCAAGTTGTTTTTATCTTCCCTGGGGCACGGATAATTGCTTTTTCGCCCTTCTATAACCCTCTAATATTCAGTATCACAGGTGAAATTGACATGAGATAAGTACAACTTGGCGTTAGATACAGACCTAAACAGTCGTTGAAAAGGCAGCAGCAATGTTCGAACTCAGCACTAACGGTCATTCAGGCAGAGAGGGAACGGGAGTTTTCAAGGGCACACTTTCCCTACGACTCACCCACAAAGGTTTCTTATTATAACTTTCCGTCTGAGCCCTCCTGAGGCGTGCGTAGACGCAATGGCTGTGTACTTACCCGACACCCACACGCCGCCCATGCCTCTGGCACTGTAGGTCCCATCCAGCACCTCCTTCAGACCGAAGGCTACCGGCTCCTCGTCGGCCCGTGGTGCCGCCCCCGCTCCCGCCACCAGCGCCAAGGCCACCAGCCACGCCTGCGACACACAACGCCACCACGTTAATGAACTGTTATTTTGGATAAATTATTAATTTACAAATAGAAAAGGAAATAGTCACTGAAATGAAATTAAAAGTCTATTATGGCCCGGCCGGCCGGCGGCGCGATCGTTACCAGTCACGCTTCCGGTGCGCAATGCCACTATTTGTTTCCTTTTGGATATACTATTAATTTACAAACGGGAAATATTTTTATCAGGAGTCATTCTTTGCGTCACTGAAAAGAAATACCGGGTTGATAATTTCTTCACTATATATTGCAAGTTTGAATAAAATCTTACTGACCATTGTCGAATTATATTTGCATGATATTAAATCGTTTATAACCAAAAACTGCAAAAAGAACTAAACAAACTACTAATACCTAATAACTTATTAAACTTTCATATTCTCTGATCACTACAAAAACTATACTGAGCAAAACTATGAATTAAACTCAACAATGTAATGAGTATTGATACACTCGTATGACGTTTAATACACTCTCTCGTTCCTCGCTCGTGTCATAGTAAACTTACATTAATGTATCTATCATTACATAGTTTCATAATTTATTAATATAATGCAAATGAATTTCTTTTGAATTTTTATGGGTATATAAACAAACAAGTTCTGTAATAACTGTATCTTGACTTTGCGTACGTTTAGTTGAGCTTTTCTCTCGCTAGTTGTGGTAGGGTAGAGCTGAAGATGTGGGTTACTAGTTTGTTAGAAATACTATAAAATCAAATCTGTGGTTGCCTGCCTTGGAAAAAATTTTCTATAGCATTTCTCAAGGGCAAAATGTTCTGGATTTAATGTTGGTTAATGCACTTTTTTGGTGCTTTTATTCATAATTCCCATACGTGTAGTTAAAGTGAGAGGTTTCTGGTGTTTAAGAAAACGTGCGCGAATTTCACTTTGTAAAGTGTTTACTGCTTTTTTGCAAAAAAGAATATCAAATGAAAACCAGAGGTACAACAGAATGGTACAAATTTTTTGTATAAGTTTTCTATTTTCTCTCGACTGGGCTAACTATTTGAACTCGCCACAAACTCTAATCTGTGGGGAAATTATCTTTTATAAACGGAACGATACAATAATAGAATACATTGCCTGCAAAAACCTTTCAACCCTTTCCTTGTAGCGTACAACTGTTTAGAAAATTATTTTAGGTTATTACTAAATAAATGAGGGACTTAGCTGACAATAGTAGATCATAGAGCGATGCGTAAGTAATATATTGTGAAGTGAGGTGTCGTACAGTGTAGAACAGAAGAAATAATGTAGGAAGTGATTAAAGGGTTACAGTGAAGAGAAGTGAAGTGAAGTGCAGGTTGTGCAAAAATTCAGTGCGGAGTTAGATTATGATGTTTATTTTTTAAGGTAATTGTGAATGTTTTAGGAATTAAACAGACTTTATATCATTATTATTTTTTTATTATTGTATTTATTATTATTATATAATATGAATGTTAGCTGTATTATCTTATTTATGTATTTACGCGCCACCGCGTTATGCCCATTTGTAGTTCAAATAAATTTATCTTATCTTATCTTGTTATCTGCCATCTATCGCTACCCAAAGTATATTATTTTGATTTTTCTCAATATTACGGTTTCCTAATACTAGAACCGAAATATTAATTTACAAATATTATATAAGAGCAAATAAGTAGTCTTAAATGGCGATTTTCATAAAATTTGGAGCCACTTTTAAGATAATCGCAATTAAGCGTTAATGCAAATGCAAAATTTGAAGCTTTTCTCACAGAAAGTTTTTGAGCTTTCGAAAAACTTCATTTGTACATTTGTGTATTTTTTGAAAAAACAAAAGAATACCCCAAAATGAAATTTATGTCATATAAGAGAGTGCAATTAGTGCTATTCGTTGGAAACGTTTGAAGAAAAAATTTGGATCTATTTTTGTGAAAATGGTGATTGATCGTTTCTTAAAATATGGAATTTTGAGCTACTTTTAACAAAAACGTATGTTTTCGGGAAATATTATTAAAAACACATGTACGTATAAATGCAGTAATGTAAACAAATCTCCACTAATGTAAATATTAACGGTGTGAGAGACAAGCAAAAATATTACATTTTTGTAATTTTTGAAAAACAAAAGAAGAGAGCAATATGGTATCGAATATAGTACCTTTAACACTATTCCTAAAAGTTGAAAGAAATAATTTGGAGCCATTTCGAGGAAATCTTGTTTTTCTTATTTTTTAAAAATTGCAAATATTGCACGCAAAATTGCGCAAAATCTACTAAAAGTTTCAAAACAACGTCCTGAATTGTGAGAGAATCGTGTGGCGAAACATGTCTTTTCAAGGAAACTTCTCTGTCTTCAATATTGTAGTTGTAGAAAGTTGCTGAAAAAAATAATACTTTTACAATTTTCGAAAAGTCAGAGTTAACAGTGAAAACATACCTACGCCACCTTTATAACTGCATTTCACTCTATTCTTACAAGAAATGTAAATAAAAAATTTGGAGCCATATTTGAGAAAATGTTGAAAATGTCCGAATGGCTTCATATGAAGTACGCCTAAAAATTAATGAATGTTTTTGAAAATCGCAGAGTTTCGACTGAGGCCAATTCGTTAGGGCCTCAAAAGTAAGCTTCAATTTGGAAAAATATCCTACGCATGATTTAGGCGCTAGTGATGTTCACATACACCTGACGGATAGACAAAAGGACAGATGATAAAAAACAACACTTTTTTGGTATTGGAGACCCCAAAACACGTATTTCTATTGAAATCTCGAAATCGATTATCCGAAGCATTACATAACTTTCTTTATACTAGGTATATTACTCTGTGTATACGTACGCATACGTGAAAGTAACAATTGTTGTAGCTGGACGAAAAATGTATCAATCCATCTCTCCGAACAGATTAAAAATGATATTTTATTGATATACGATAAATCTTGCGAAGAATAAACAAAACAATTCATCTTGCTCACTTCAAATTTTTTTTCTGAAACAGTGTGTGTGTGTGTGTGTGTGTGTGTGTGTGTGTGTATATATATATATATATATATATATATATATATATATATATATATATATATATATCTTTTCCCAGAACTTCTCAATTTTGATAACTATTACAGAACTTTTAATTTTAACAAAATAAACATTTTAACCATACGCTTAAGTATGTGGCAACCATCGCAAAGTTGAGTTTATTCAATGCGTGATGTTGTTTGGTTTATTATTCATTACTCAATATTTGGAAACTTTAATTTCAGTAACGAGAACAGAAATAGGTAATCATACAACTAAACATTTTTATAAAGCATCTTACAAAAACGTGAGTTTGAATTCTTCCTAAAATGTTCAAGTGTTTATAGAATTTAATAGAACGAATTATGTACTATATTCCAAATAATATGAACATGTTGTGGCTAGAAGTTTTGAACATATAATGTCAAATATTTAATTGAGGTTGAACTTCTGCGCTGCTAGATATTTTCTTAATTCGTTCAATTCTTTGGTGTCTTATTCTTGACATCGTTGGATTGTAAACAGCATTTACAGTGTTTGCTTGCTCGGTGCTCGGACGTACCCTATCAATTATTACATACAGAGCGAATAAGATGTTACTGATCAGAATGGGACTTTCTTCAATACAGTTTTGAATCATTTGTTGAAATATAATGAGTTTGCTCTGCGTGCTCGTGATAAAGTTTTCGGGTTTTTGAAATTGTGTCGCAGATCGCGATAATAGGCTTTAAAAGATACAGCATTTGTGTCATGTTAATCTCTAAAGAGCTTCTTTGAGATTGAGAGCGATGGCCCCTTTTCCATTCCAAGGGCAGCAAGGGGAGTTTATCTGGGATGATAATGTATTAGGTTTCGAATTGATGTCTTTCATAACACTATTTACAGTCGCACCATTGTCCCGTCATAGCCAAATTTTTGTTTTAACTGTTTGTAGGGATAGTGTTATATGACTGAATAACATGATATTAAAGTAGTTTGATATATTATTTCGACTTTTCAAAAATTACACAGATAATGTTTTTTAAATATCTCTCATGTGCTTATTTACATAACGTTTTTATGCATTATTGTGTTTGTGGGTATCAGTGCTTGAAATAATTTCATCTTTCATTAAAATTTAATTTTCTGTGAATGTTCGAAACGTTTTCTTAAAAACGGCTCTGAATCCTTCAATGAAAATTTACTTTTTCTAAACTTTACATACCAAGAATGTAAAAAAAAATTATTTCCATATACCAAACCGTGAATCGCAAGGCTCGCTGGAGGCTGCATAGTTTATTTACAATTTCTGTGCGCATTGAAAATTAGTAATATAAGCTTTAGGCAAAGGCCAAAAGTAGGCGTGCTTGCTATTTTATAAATAACTCATGATGATATGGTTTTAGAAATGTTTTTAGGAATTATTCGATAATTCTCTAACTTAGGTTCCTTCAAAAAAGGAATTTCTCATGTTATTGGATTTATAAATGATAAATTAATCTATAAATACATTCCATTGTGGAATATCTCAAAGATTAAATGATAATAAGAAGCACGTGCCTGAATCATCTTAAAACTGTCAAATTAATTCAGTTGTCAATTGTTTGAATTATATTCAGATCACACAGAATGAACAATATAATACAGCTGTCAATTGATTGAATTATATTTATATTACAACATAATGAGCATTCTGTTGATAGCATTAGTCAAATTTTATTTTATTCAATTTATTTATTGGACCTTTCAACTGCTCTTATCTACTCAATAGATCTCTTAAGGGCCTGAGGTGCATCAGTTATCTAATAAATAATTTATAGCGATAACGATCATGATAGACGGAGAAGAAATGCAAACGGGAGAAGCTCCAGAAAACCTGGCGGGGCATCGCGTTGTTCACCATAAATTCTAACATGAAAAGGGCGGACGTCAAACCTTGGCACCAGTAGTAGTAAGCGTATGGGCTAGCTAATACGAAACCTCCCGTAATTGAATTCAAGAATTATTTTTGTGTAATACAAAATTAAGAGAAAATGTTGATATTTTCTACAATCATTCCTATTTCAATTTTATTTTAGACGGGAAACGGCCGAGTTTTGTTGGTCTTTTGGTTGCGTTGTTTTCTAGAAACAAATTAAAATTTAATATTAATAATAACACTAATACATATATATACTTATTGTATGTTGTTGATGTTGTATTGTGTGTGGTTGTTGCATAGAAAAAAGAGCTTTCTACTCAAACAAATTATATCATTTTTGCTTTAAACAAAAGGTATTGCCCCAGATACGTAATTTCTTACTGTTATTACCTGGTTTTGCACTTTAAACACTAGGTTTTTATAAAATCGTAAAATTAATATAATAAACATTTACCTGCAATTATGTCGTTTGATTTTTTGAAGACCTTCCTCAGAATCTCTTGGACTATCGCGATCAATCTATAACGAACACGCGTGTGTGAGTGTGAGGATATAGTTAATGAAGAAACGTTAGAGAAGTTTTTAAGTTCGAAAAGTGTGTGATTTTAAATTAAAGATTAGTGAAAGTATATTAAGCCGTGTCTAGCAATCATAATGTGATGCATAACGTTTTTAAATTAAAGTGTATAGCAGGGTTCCTGCTACAGTCCACTACATCATTCTTTTCCAACACACGTCTTTGTAAATATAAGACTTCAGATTCATAATCATATTTAACTCTGTGTTTACAGTGAGTAGTGATCGTATTTCTCTATATCTTGTAACCCTTTCTCATTTTGTCAGTCTAAGAGAATAAATATCTACTCAATGACATAAAACAATCGTTTTTAGGTTTACGAATTTCCATGTACTTTATATGTAGTTATTTTGTTTGTAAATGATTTTACAGCTCTTTCTTTTGAGCGGCCAAATCGCAAATATTGAGCAATTATTTTTAATAATAATAATAATAATAATAACAACAACTCCACGAAGAGAGTGCACGACCTTGCAGCTAGTGGTGGAGCTTGAGTACCCCTATGAGTCTGAGAGCTATGTAGGCGGTAGCCTAGCTACTGATTGGACCTACCTTGTTGAATAAGTTGAAGGTGAGAGGTCAGACGAAGAAGTAATTCAGAGGAGAGCGACAACGGCAACTTCGAAGAAGAAAGGAAAATTGATGAAGATGGTGGAAGAGGCGATCATGCGGCACGACCGAGAAGGGCGCAAATATGATATATTCCATCGTGAAGACAGACCCTCACGCGACAAGAAATAAAAACCCAAGTATAGCTGCCCAAGACAGGTGTTGAGAACAAGTCATTATGATAAAGCGGTTCTCAAAATATCCCAAAATGATAAATGCTGCATTTGCCAGGAACAAGTAGAAACCATTGATCTTACTGTCACATCATTTCCAATTCTAGCAAACACCGAATACTTGAAAAGACATGACAGGGTGTGCAGTTATCTTCACTGACATATGTGTCCTCGAAGTTTCAAACACATGTTCCAAGTGGAACGAACACACCCAATCGGTGACAACTGTCGGACTACGTACAATACTGTAAGACCAACACGTTTAAACTGATCGCACGATATCGGCAAACAAACCGGATATTATTATCCGGGATTTGTAGGAAAAAACTGTCTACTTGTAGATTTTTGAAGGAAACTATAGCTAACACATTATGCCGTCCACCTTAACTTATGAATAAAAACGTAATAAACCACTTATAATTATAACCCCTGATTTTGTTTTGTGATCCACGTGGGAATGATCTGACTTCATTGTCTGAGGAAACGTGAAGTATTAACTGATCTTTCTCTTTCGAATTAAATTACCGGCAACGTGAATTTGTTTTAATATTAATTTTCCTCATTTTAAAACTGCTATTGAAGATCAATATTGCAGTTCTCTGAAGTTTGTATCATCTTCCTGCACAGTAGGCAAGTTACGGAATCTACTTTTATAGGTCCAATCTGACCACTTAGAAAACTTAGATGAACTACTGGGGCAAAATTAGCTTGATTATGATGGGGCACCATGCTCATATGCTACAATGCTTTTTCAGATATTTATGATTCCTGAACATACATGAGTTGAACATACAAGAGAAAAACTATTAAAGGGATTTAATTGGGAAAATATAAAAGATAGCAATTCATTTCGTTGCAGAATGTAGAAGCATAAAAAGTGCAGCTTATGAATGTGGTATCAAGAGAGAAACATTAAGACGGAAAGACAAATAATAAAATCAAAATGGTTTGCGGTTTGTCTTTGAAAATGCCGAAAACTTGCCTCTCAAACTGCTATTGCAAATAATGTTAAATGTTCAGATTCATGGTTAGAAAGAGCTGATTAGCAGACTATTTCAAAAGAAGTAAAGATTTGTTCTTAAGGCCTCCAGAGGGGTGTAGTGTTGCTCGTGACTCAGATTAAACGTTTTATCGACAAAACGTGCAGGCTTTTATCAACAATTATCAATCGTTAAAGTGAGAACCTAAACTAGGCGATCCTTCGTGCGCCTTCAATTTAAACGAAAAAAAACATCAACAGTTAAAAAAGCGGGAAGGTAATCGCTGAGAAAGGTTACAAAGCTATGTATCAAGTGAAAAGTGCTGTCTTCTAACAACATGCTGTATTGTCAGCGCTAATGGCAATTATTTACCCCCTACCGTAATTTTTCCTCGAGTCCATTTCCGTGAGCACTGCTGTTTGTGCTCGTCAAATTCCTTTTTTTTAAATATAGTGGCTTCTCAATGATGAACAAGGGGTAGGTATTCTGCAAAAGTCATGACCCATTGTAGCTCAGACGCTCATTCATGGTACTCCAGGCGTGGAGATACGATGAGTCCTTCATTGAAATTCTTTTTTCGTATTGTTTCTCTCCTCCATTAATTATTTCGTGACCATAACCACACAGTGTTAAAATATGAATATGTCTTTAATTGTGCAAATATAATTAAATTAATCATCTTCAATGTAAAGAATTCCCGAATGATCCACATTTTGTGGCTCATGGCACCCCAGTTTCCGCGTACTCACTAATCTATTTAAAAAACATTTAAAAGCACTCTTCGGGCTCACGTAAACTCTTCACTAACTGTAAACTCCCACCCACACGTTCGCTGGATGACGAAATGCCGACTGCTTTCGATAGATCGATCACAACTCACACAATGAAATAATGAACTTGTGAAAACATTTGAGCGTCAGATCTATTAACTTCAAGATGTTACTATTTCTTGTTTCATTCTACAAAATAAGTTCGTAAGAACAAGAGATAACATATCTACTTCCTTTCATTTAAGCAAAAATCACAAAACAGGTGAGGAAAGGAAACTTCTTTGTAAACAAAACCCATTAGTGTTTTACATATAAGAACACGCTCAACCCATGGGATTACTTCGTCCAAAAGGAAGCACAGTAGAAAAAGTAGAAGAAAGTAGTGCAAGATATACACTCTACGAAAAATTGAAACTCCTCGAAGTATTGTTTTATGTCGCTCAGTTCTTTTATAATCTCAGACCAATGAAATGAAGGAGGTTTTACAAATTTTGGAACAATACAATCACTATTTACAGTGAACAATTTTTTTTTCTGAAAATATAATTGAATTTTTTTTATATTTACCAAGATCTTGTCATAGCGGACTACAGAAGGAAATCGTACTATCCAGTTTAATTAAAAAACGATCATAATGTATCTCTTAAAATTATAATCATCGCATTTATGTTGATAAGATACACTTGTTTCAAACGATTCCTGGTCATCACTTTTATATTCACTTTTCAATCTTTTGATTTAAAAACAATCAATTTTTGAACTTTAAAACCCACTATCTTTGCTTCGCTAATTTTAACCTCACTTACACACGCTTGCCTTCTATAGACCACGAGATTCTTGACACAATTCAACGACAAATGATGGCAGATAATTGTTCTTTTTTATGATTTTATTAAAATATAGTGTTTATATTTTTAACCTGATAATAACAGCAATTGTTAGGGGGCTCACTACCTTTCATTTAAAGCGAAAATCACGAAATGTGATTGGATAGAAATTTATTTTTAAACGAAACCCTGAGTGTTTTAAAAATAAATATTTTCTAATTTTCAAAAATTTTAGATGGAGATTTTAATGGAAAATCGTACTTTACCATATTTATAAACACAATTTCTTCAAGCAAAAAATTTAAATAAAAACTGCTCAGTCATATTCCAGATTACTTTTACAGAAGCTTCATGTAAAGTACCCTCAAACATTAATGTATCGTAATGGTCTCTGAAACGGTACAACTAGGTCTTACTCCTATCGTCTTTACCATATTTTAGCTAAAAAGTTTTTAATCTAACAGAATTATGCGTCACGTAGTCTTCCATCCATCTATCCATCCATCCACCCTTACAGACAGGCATACGGATTTTCGAATGCAAAGTCTTGTGTATGACCTCGCCATCTGCACCAGTTTTAACTATTTTTGTAACAACACTAACAGACTTTCGTCTGGCGTGAGTGCAAAGTTACAGCTCACAGAAAAAACTTAAGCACGGATTTTACGACAGAAATTCAATTAGTATCGTTGAGTTGATAACAATACATTCCCTTCCTATACTGTAGTAAAGGAAGAAAAAGTAATCTTTTTTCAAAAAATATTTCCTAAGAAATGTCATTATTTACAAAAATAATGAAATGTTAACACTCTAATGCAACTATATCTCAATGTGCCAATGTGACAATCAGAATGTGTAAATTGCCCTTCGACCTGTAATGCCAAATGGACGAAAGAAATGCCCCGTGCATCCAGACTCACCGCAGCACCAAGTCGTTGCATCCTTCCGCGTGGACCACCAGTCTCGGAGTGCGACCGAAAGCCTGCGCTCAAGATAAGGTAGGCTGTATCGAGAGATATACGCACTTCATTCACCACGTCATACGTTGCGTCCTCAACCCACTTCCTTTGCCCTCTCCATCTACCCACTTAACGACAACCTGCGAAGGTCACCAGCGACCAGAAGGAAGGCAAAATATCCTTCGAGGATTAAGATCAATTATCTCGAAGTCCAGCGTTAAAACTCTCACTATCTCTGTTCAAAAGGTAATTTTGATTGGGCAAAACGAAGTATTTAAATACGATATCCCTCACTCTAATACTACACAATTGCGTATTTTTTGTATTCCTAGCATTTTTTCTAGCTTCTAATGGTTACCTTTAATTTTTAAGTGAGACGAATTCGAAAACGAATCCTAAAAACTTCCCGAAACCATAAAGTCTTCCGTATACAAAATGCTCTAGCAGTAATCGTCGATATTTTGGGATGTCACAATAACGATTTCCTTTGCAAAAATGTACATATGATGAATTATATTCCGAAGGGTTTCAGAAAGAGAGAGGGAGAGGAAGAGAGAGAGGGAGAGAGAGGGAGAGGGAGAGAGAGAAAGAAAGAGAGAGAGAGAGAGAGAGAGAGAGAGAGAGAGAGAGAGAGCTCTTGACAATTTTTTTGTGTATACGTTATTCTGAAGGGTCTCGGAGATAGAACTCGCTGTCTTTAAAATTGTTATTTTTTTCAATTGTCATAGGGGGAACAGTTTTCATGCTACAAATCATGTTCGAAAATTTCGCCTTCAAAATACACACTTCGGTGCATATTCCGACTCATGTGATGGCATAGTGTGTTGCGTGGTTGAATGCAAATTGACGTTCCAGGATGAAAGAAGCTTCATCACTTTGCAGTATGAATGAAAGTAATTGTCGATTAACTCTTAATTAGTGACAAAACTCTAGACGCATGTGATTATTTCCTGGATGTTGTTTTTTGCTCAGTTTGGGTAATTCTAGTGCAAATCGTCTTAATGTAATATTTACTACGTTGGTGAAACAATAAGAAGCTTTTGAGTAATATTTGTAGGGCTACGTTATCGTTTTAAAAGAATGTTTCCTGTTCTTCCGCATGTTGACATGCTTGCCAAATGACGGGTTGCAGTACTCGAAAGTCGATATCGTACCATAATCACGAAATGTCCTTTAACATCGTGAAAACGCTAAGAACACAATTCTACTTATGTACGGATAGTATGGATACTACTTATGTACGGATAATAGGAAAATGTCGATCCTATTATTCAACCGAAGCGGTGGCACTACCATCGCAAACGCCGTACACACCCAGCATATCAGCATATTCTTAATTTGCAAATTTGGTTAGCATTTTCTACATAACGTCTACAATGTAATACCAACGACATTAACGGCTAACCTAAATACGATGCTTTAGAATTTAGTGCAGTACGGAAGGACAAAAGGTTAATTAATATTAGTAGTAGTAGTAGTAGTAGTAGTAGTAGTAGTAGTAGAAGAAGAAGAAGTAGTAGTAGTAGTAGTAGTAGTAGTAGTAGTAGTTGTAGCAGTAGTAGTAACAGTAGCAGTAGCAGTAGCCATAATGATGGCGGTGGCAGTGGTAGTGGTAGGGGTAGTGAAAGTGGAAGTAGTAGTGGTGGAAGTAGTAGTGGTAGTGTAGTAATAGTAGTAGTAGTAGTAGTAGTAGTAGTAGTAGTAGTAGTAGTAGAATAAGAAGTAGTAGTAGAATAAGTAGTAGTAGAAGTAGTAGTAGTAGTAGTAGTAGTAGTAGTTGTTGTAGCAGTAGTAGTAACAGTAGCAGTAGCAGTAGCCATAATGATGGCGGTGACAGTGGTAGTGGTAGGGGTAGTGAAAGTTGAAGTAGTAGTGGTGGAAGTAGTAGTGGTAGTGTAGTAATAGTAGTAGTAGTAGTAGTAGAATAAGAAGTAGTAGTAGAATAAGTAGTAGTAGTAGTAGTAGTAGTAGTAGTAGTAGTAGTAGTAGTAGTTGAATACGTGAATAAGTAGTAGTAGTGGTAAGTAGTAGCGGTGGCAGCGGCGGTGGCGGCGGGAATAGTAGTAGTAGTAGTAGCGGTAGCGGTAGTGGTAGTAGTGGTGGTAGCAGTGGCGGTGGTGGTTGTGGTTATAGTAGTTGTAGTTGGTGTAATTAGTGTAACTTACTACTGCCATTGATGGAAAAGTAAGAACTAAGAATCATAAACAAAAAGTAAAAATACCTCATTTGAAATTCTCATCAGTAGATAAAACTCAGTTGGCCTATGAAGAATTTAACGAAAAACATGCAGACAAAAAATACGCAAAGTACACAACAACAATTTTCGTAACACGTATTTTGAATTTTTAGCTATTATATTTGTGTAGAAAAGCAGTTAAATTCATCAGAAACTAAAGTAGAGTCCACAGAAATTGAACTATTTGATAAAGAAACTAGAGTATGAATCAATTCTATTCTTGAAGATCGTTCGATATTGATTAAACGAATTCTGAAATGACAGAATTTGAAGTAGCCTGTGACGCATTATATAATTCGCCAAATATTTGTCAAAGGAAGATATTCGAGAATCTTGTAATCTATGAATTATGGGACACAGTCCTGAAATTTTATTGCGTTATGCAAAATTAACATGTGTCAATTGTATGACGTCCGACAGTTAATCTGCGTGTTTGAGAGTACCCTCTGGAAATGATTCGCGGGAAGCCCTTCATTGAACTGTGAACGTTCAAAGCGTTGCGCCATTGCACAGAAAAGAGGAAGCTCCAAATGGCGCTTAGATGTTCCGATAACGGAAATACGAAATGCTTTTATCTACACTTTTGTTGAATTACAGCATATCTCGTTATCAACCCAACGTTAGTCACATGTACGAAATATGTCACGCACCAATTCATCTAGAGTTCTCAAAGATAGGAGAGCACATTATAAGTAACTCATCGTTTCTCAAGTCATCTCAGCCTTTATCATCATTTGTTAATCTATAAAATTGTCTATTGTGTCAGATAAATGTACACTTTTGATGAGTTTTAATATTTTCTTCTTAAACAAAGGAATTTGTGAACGTTGTATAACATTCCGTGAAACGTATGTAATTTCTATAATGTCATTGTTCCTTGAACAAATTTTTATTTTCTCGCAATTACTGACGTAAGAAGAGTAGGCCGGAAAATAGCAAATTTTCGACACAAAAACTCTAACAAAAAAGTGGATAAATCCAGTTGCTAAATATAGAAAACAAATTCCTCTTAACACGTGGCGGGGCCAGAATCCAAGATATGTGCGTCCTTGATACCGGAAAAACTATTGATGGCAAAAAGTCTGTCTGTCCGTGAGTCGGTCTGTCTATCCGTCTGTGCACAACCCTAGGACAGAAACCCTTCAACCGATGTTCTCCAAAATTGATATTCCGCATTAATTCTGGCTAATGTCGCTGCCCCTGAATTTGAAACTGATATTTTAATTTTGGAGGGTACTTTACATGAACTCCAGACCTTTTACCAAATTTTGAAAAAAATGTTTCAAATTTTTTGATTACATATAGTTGTTTGATTGTGCGAAAGACGTTTAAGAAAATGATGCAGTGTCATTTTCGTTAAAATCCCCGACTTTTCGAAAATTGCGAAAAAAAGAAAATTTAAAACTACAAAATTGAAGAGGGAGATTTTTACCTCAGACAAAGTATATTATACAAAATTAGCTCTTTAAAAAGGTAATTTTATAGATTGGCACAATTTATTGAAAAAGTATTACTTTTGCGTTCTTTGCGCTTGAAATTATCGCATTTTTCTCGAAATCCGCTCCAAATTTTACCTTTAGAATGTCTCCATATATGTAATAAGGGGCGGTATAAAATGTGTTCGTCTCGTTTCTTAAAAATTTAAAAACTACAAAATTGAAGATAGAAATGTTTGCTTCACACAAAGTCTGTTGTAAAAAATTAGCTCTTTAAAAATTGTCATGTACATTTTTTTTTTGAAAATTTCGTCTGCAGGAATTGTCTGTAACATTAAACCAAATGTGAATGTTTCTTTATTAAATATTTCTTTCTTTAATAAAAATATGCATCACAAGCGCTTTGTTTAAATTTTTTGAATTAGACGCTTTCAAGTAATAGCTGAGGTGTTAGTAGCGCAGAAAAATCAATATTTCAATAATACGTATTATTAGTAACTGTTTCCAATAACGCGAAAAGGTATGTGCACAAATGACGCATGACTTATTTTCGAAAACCAACTGAAAAAGTACTCAATACCACTAGTTTTAGTATCGTATACGCAACTATTAATTAATATAATAATGGTAAGTCATAAGGATATGTTTATGTGTTCCAAATTATTTTGTCACAATGTATGTACTTGTATTAATAATATGAAGCATCTGGGATTTCAAATTTATTGATTTATGCACATTTGTATGTTTAACTGAAATGAAAACCTCTTTTTACCAGTTTTTATTTAGAATTTTTGACTGTTAGTGTATCGTTTTACCGGGGGTTTTCTGTATAATTGCTTAAACAGCTTTTAAAACAATTTCATTGAGCGATGGGGTTTTATATTACATATAATTTAGGCTGCAAGTATTTTGATATCACGTAGTTTCAAAATTAAATTTTGTTAAGGTGTGTAGTACGTCAGATGTTTATTTTGTCTCCTGATATCCAATGTGAAGATAGTGCAATTAGTGATCGCACACTTACAACGTCAAAAGATAATTGTCTGTTAGTTATATAATAAACGCCATAAGTATAAAATACAAATGAATGTAGTTTATGAAAGACCCAACCAATAAATGCAATATCAATCAATTAAACCAAATGCGACAGAAGTGTCGCAGACTAGGCGCAGAAATTGATTGTACAGTTGAAGTAACAAAGCGACATGAAGTAGATAATAGTGAATTTACCTACCGTTTATGATCCATGAAACTCGGTGTAGCTCTGATAAGGAACAACGCGTGGTTAATACCCAGTACAAAGTTCCCAGCACT